CTGCAGTTGCCATGAAGAGACTATCGCCTATTTTAGAGGAAAAATCACCAGGCTGCCCTCTAAGAAGAGCCTGTCAGCCAATTCAGCTCAATGCAGGTGCAGTTTGCCTTCTGTGAACCTGAAAAGCTGAGAGTTTTTGACATGCACTATAGAGAGGATGGAGGCATGAAGATTGTGAGTTGCTCCATATAAACTTAGCGGTCTCGGTGCTAAATCTAGTGATGGGTATTTTTTATGAAGATAATATATATATATATATATATATATATATATATATATATATATATATATATATATATATATATATATCAATCATAGGGCTGCACAATTAATAAAATTTCTAATCGCAATTACAATTATGGATGCCACAATTACGTAATCATTCAAAGCAGCAATTAATCGTTCAAAGTCCACTTATGTTATTCTGCACGCTTACGATGTTTTTTTCTTTCTACATGTTATCTTAAGGGTTTTTCCATTGTTTTAGTTTTAGTATAACATTATAATACCGTTCATATTTTTACTTTTTTATAATTTAAAGAAGAAACCAATCCAATGTATATTTGACATTTGAGGCTTAATACTATAGAAAAGCACTAAAGGTTTTTCAGTTATTATTATTATTTTCAGTGTTTTCAGCTTGTTTATTTTCATATAAAAATATGGCATGCAGTTGCATCAAACAATGGTATAAACATCAGTCAGTGTGAATTGTGATAATCGTAATTAATAATCGCAATTACAATTTCAAGGGAATAATCGACAATTTTGATTTTTGTCATAATCGTGCAGCCCTAATATATCACTATCACTTACACTTTAAGAAAATTTTGTAAAAGCACAAAAAAACCTGACTGAATGACTGAACATTTTTGAGTACTGTATATAGAATCATCTTGCTCATTAAAGTGCAATATTCTCAGTCAACATGCTGCATCTCAGTCTGCATACTATATAGCAAGTGTGGTTCCTGTGATTGCCTTCAAAATTATATAGTGTGATGAAAAACAGAGTGCCAGAAATGCTTGAATGTGAAACGGTTTCTGGCAGATTTTAGGCTACTATTACTCAAAACCCATAACGGAAGAGTTGGAGTTTCCGGCAAAATGCAGAGCCAAAACTGCCACAACATGTGCACAGTGTTTTTTGTAATTCTCCAAAGATCTTATTCATTTCCACTTGCTGGAGTGCTTGACTGTTTTTCTCTAATAATAAAGGCATATTACTGAGTTTTGTGCTCTAAATGGTTACTTATGGCAATACACTTCGTATCTGGGTGTTTACAGTGATGAATATTCATCTAGCTGCAATGGTGTGCAGCACAGCTTTAATAGTGCACAGTCCAGGCATACTGCAGACTCTGTCTATAGCAGGCAACCAGGCGGAGAAGCTTCCAGCTGGGCTCATTTCTCCTCTCTGCACCATGCAAGAAAATCAGCCCTCAGCTGTCAGCTCTAACATAGACACAACAGCGGGGCATAAGACTTGAATACGCGTCCAAGACATTTCTTTTGTTTTCACTCTTTGAAATTCACTTGACTGAGCTCATTGGCAAGGATTATTATATCTTGTTTGCCTAATAGCTGAATGTTTATGTAATGTGTCGGTTTACCGGCTGAGCTCTTTTTCTGCTCACGTTTAAATGTTTCCTGGTATCAGCCTCAGGTAGCATTCCCACAGACTGTTCATGGGCCACCTGATGCATATCGCACACAAAAACGGTGGCTGACATCACACGCTCCTATCAGATTGCCTGGATTTTGTACAATGTCTGATGCAGTTTTTAACAGCCCACCAGGAAACAAAGTCGTGTTTACAAATTCTGCTACAGTGAGCACTTCTGATTTTTTTCTCTCCATTATATTAAATGAGACCATGTAGAACCAATAGGAAATTGCAGGGATAGACAATTGGGGCAGAACATGATTCAAGAGGTTCTCACTCCGTAGGAGTCAATGACTAATAAGATACAGAATAGAACACAGGAAAGGAAAAGTCTTTTAAAAGTTGTGTTAAGTTCTTTGAGATGTACTCTTTGTAATCTGGCTGATTTCAAATGGGTTTGAAAAACTTTTACACATGTTTTACTATGATAGCTGACAATATCATGAACTAATAATTCATAAATATCATTAAGTGTTTTGTCTTGTCATAAAAAGACCAAATTATCAGATATTTTAAGAGACTTAATGACGCCTTCACAGTCACACAGTCCTCTCTTTGGGGCTATTTTACATTTTACTGTTAAATGTTTAATACAAATTTTAAATGTTTAGTAAACCAACACATATTAAAGAAAAAATTATACAATTATTTATTGAAATGATTGTATTCTCATATTGTTTTATGCCAAATTAAACATACAGTTTTCAATAATTTATTTCAATTTCAATAATTTATTTTTTGTATCACCAGTTGTATCACCTTGACATAAAAAAGAACAGTTTTAAGGAAAAAAATAAATAGAAATAATTTTTAATAATAAAAAAATAATGTTAATACAAAATCTGGGGGGGGGGGTCGCCTGCTTATCACAGAAGAGAATAGATTCTTTAAAATGTATTTTTTAAATAGAACTGGAATATCCAAAGTTTGCTAGGTTTATGGCTTCAAATCTGTTCCGTCTATAAGAATCCCATTGCCATGAAAAACCTGGACATATGATTTTTTAAATTGTGATTCCCTGACCTTAAAAAGCCATGTGGATTTCTAGTTATGCTAAGCCTTAAAATAATTTAGAAACATATAATCTAAAAATTGCCTTTTTTAAACGTAATCTCTATAAAATTATTTTTAGATCCTTATCTGGTATTAATAAACAATCCACGGAAATTCATTGGTTGTATTATTGGTCATGTGGAACCCTGTTAGTAACAAATAAATGAGACATCATTGGGCACAACTGTGTATTCTGTTCTTAGTTATGTTCAAATGCACATTTATCCATTTTCCTATATAGGCTATCATAAAGAAATATACTGCGGTTGGCCATTTAACATCAGACAGACAGCCCTTTCCTGTCAGCTGCTGTCCAGAATAATCTGCAGAATGGACCAGACTATAGTCCACTAGCCAATGTAAGACTAAATGCTTCTTTAGTTTGTCTCAAAAAGTTTATTTCTGAGGGTTTCTGATGTTTGCTCTTTTGCAGTCTTCCCATTTAGGACATACAAAACTGCTCATCCTGACAGCAAAGTGAAACAAATCAGATATTGCTTTTTCTGCATCTTCCTATGCATATAAAATGAGTCATATGCTAGACGAAAGCACTCTGTGATCATATCTGATGTGCAGAATTATGACTAAATAAATCAGGTTAGTGCTGGCATCAGCTGTAAATGCACAAAGTCCATTTTAATAATGAAACATTCAATTTGTTTTAAGCAGAGCCTGGAGGGATGCCTGATTGTGTTTATTTCCATGTCCTGCCTTTTTTTCCCCCCTTCCTCTGCGGCACTGGAGAATTGCACCTGGCGTGTACACGAGTCAAAGTGACAGCGTAATATTAGTCGGGGCGAGATGAAGTGCGCGTGAGTTGATAGATTCTTCCCCGCTTTCTCTGTCAAACACACTGAATACATTCTGGTGTTCATTCTCACCTTATGGGACTGTCATTTAATGCAAAGCTCTGCTGCCGCCACATTCCTTTTCAATGCGTGCGATTTAAAATGGTTTTCCACTACGCCACGTGTTCGGTCTCTCTAGGTATTGATGTGGCGGTGGGTTGGTGCACTCGCACCACGTGCTGAACGAATGAGTGGTAATGTCAAACAGAGGTGGCCTGATGGAGGTGATCTTTGGGCCCTAAGCACAGCGGTACGGCTGAGATAATGAGCCCAGGCGCTGCTGGAAGCTGGAACAGTCAGAACTTTCCAGCACAGCATTAAGAGAGCACTGTGGTTTTCACATCAAGCCCAGGAGCTGCAGTTGCCATGAAGAGACTATCGCCTATTTTAGAGGAAAAATCACCAGGCTGCCCTCTAAGAAGAGCCTGTCAGCCAATTCAGCTCAATGCAGGTGCAGTTTGCCTTCTGTGAACCTGAAAAGCTGAGAGTTTTTGACATGCACTATAGAGAGGATGGAGGCATGAAGATTGTGAGTTGCTCCATATAAACTTAGCGGTCTCGGTGCTAAATCTAGTGATGGGTATTTTTTATGAAGTTTTTGTGAAGTTTCAAAACCTTTGCGATTTATTTATTCTGAATTGGTGATTCAGAGCACTTATCAAACCGTGAAAGTCACGTGATTTCGGTAAATGCGGCTTTCTAACATCATGGCTGTTTTGAAATCTTTCTCATTTCAATGGTTCGCCACTAGGGGGTGATGTCTGCGAAACCAGTGTCTATGGCTGCATACGAAATCGGATACTGTGTAGTAGGTACAACATCTGGTTTGAAACTTGCTTTGCAAAGTAAAGTGTCTATTGGATGCACACTTCATAATCTTACTGGAAGTAGTAGGTCATCCGAGTACTCATCCTAATCTACTATTTTATGAATTCGGACATACTACTCTGCTCAGATAATATTATATAGTATGGAAGTAGGTATATGTACGGATGCAGTGTATTTTTTGTCTGATCTTGGATCACTTTTAAAAATTTGAAAACATTTAATGACACATTATACACATTTGTATAATAAAAAATAAGAGTTGTGGTTAATAGTCTCTTATTGGCCGGATAGTCCTACAATTTAATAAACACATACAGACACTTCATATTCAGTAGTATTAGATTATTTGCAATTACATTTAATAGATTAAAGTTTCAATAAAACAATTGCAATTGGTTTGTAATAGGTTTTTGATGCATGTTTGAGCTGAGTTAACATTGTAAAACCATTCTCACCAGCAGGCTTCACGAGTGTGCAGCATTTCGAGAGCTTCGAATCAGTGAATCATTTTGTGAAGCAATTGGTTCAATTAGTTCAAAGTGTCAAAAGCTTTGTTTCTTCCATCGCTAGCTAAAAGTCTTTTCTGTTCTGTATTTCTCTCTATAGGTGAGGACGATAGCCTGGCCTTGAAAGGGAAAGTGACAGTGGAAGAAATCTTCAAAAAAGACTTCAAAGATCACGACCCAAATGCTAAGTGGATCAGTAGTAAGTGCTCTCATCAGCAGACATTTGATTTCTTCTAGTGTGGTTCTTACATTTGCTGCCCAGTATCAGATACGATTGCAGAGATTATCTCAGCATTGAGTACTATAATTCTCATTGTGCACATAATCGATTCAGGGAGGCAGTGAAATGAAGGCTTTTGCACTGCTAATTTCCTCTTCATGGTAAAACGAAAGTATTGGTTTATTTTTTATTTTTATTTATTTTTTCTTTCAAAGTCATGAATTTCAAACATTTGAGAATCATGATCTTCCTAAAACTCAAGTAAAATCCCAGTGGCCTAAAAAATAAGTTTCCCATTTTAATGGTCTTAACAGTTTCCAAATACAGTGACCGCAAAAAGTATCGTCTCGGTTACGTATGGTAACCCTCGTTCCCTGAATGAGGGAACGGAGAAGTGACATCGGATGACCGACGAATTGGGATCTCGCTTAGAGAGACCAATCTACTTCGAGTGTAAACTAAATGAGCCAATGCACATTGGCATGCAATTATTGCATCCAGCTGCCGCTGATCACAGCGTGAGTATAAGTAGGCAGCAGATGCAGCGCATATTCAGGTTTTCGCTGAGGAGCCGAGCCGGTGACCCGGCCGCTCAGCGGTGGTACAGGAGCTGTGGCGACGGGACGTGACGTCTCCGTTCCCTCCTTCAGGGAACGAGGGTTACCATACGTAACCGAGACGTTCCCTTTCAGTCGGTCACTCTCGATGTCACGTCGGATGACCGACGAATTGGGATCCCTAACAAAGGGCCACAGGTACTGCCCCTTCCAGTGTCCTGTGGAAGCCACCTGCGCCCCTACTTTTTAGCGTAGGCCAGGGCTTGCAAAAGAGGACCAGCTACTGCTGCTATGACACTACCCAATGAGTAAGACTGTATGACACTGGGAAAACGTACCCGTTCTACTTGGAACAGGGACGTTACGGAAGCTCCAACCTTCCCGAAGGAGGTTTCGGAAGCAAATACACATATGAACATTCCTTAGGCGCATATGGAAGATTGGAGGTGATTGTAACCCTCTTGGAATGGCAGAAGTCTGCCGGGGAAACACAGACTCGAGGCTATACCGTGGACTTTACACATATGAGATCCACTTAAGGTCTTACATATGGAACCCAGGCTTCTACCGGTTCTCGAGGATTCAACGAGTGAAGGCCTAGCGCCGGACGCTCCGCCATGTCTGGCTGCCGAGGGGACGGAGGAACTCAACAGGGTCTACTATATGGACTCTCTGGAGGGGTTTTAGCAAGCCGACCCGAAGCCGGGGCCTCTCAGTGCTTCTACCCGTTTGAGGTGAGAACACAGGAGGATATCGGCTCCAAACGAAGGCTATAGAATGTAGTGGACGTGTTAGGGGTCGCCCAGCCCGCAGCTCTACAGATATCTGCCAGCGAGGCACCACGAGCCAGCGCCCAGGAGGACGCAACACTCTAGTTGAGTGAGCTCGCAACCTGAATGGGCAGGGCACACCCTGTGCTGTCACGTCGGATGACCGACGAATTGGGATCCCTAACAAAGGGCCACAGGTACTGCCCCTTCCAGTGTCCTGTGGAAGCCACCTGCGCCCCTACTTTTTAGCGTAGGCCAGGGCTTGCAAAAGAGGACCAGCTACTGCTGCTATGACACTACCCAATGAGTAAGACTGTATGACACTGGGAAAACGTACCCGTTCTACTTGGAACAGGGACGTTACGGAAGCTCCAACCTTCCCGAAGGAGGTTTCGGAAGCAAATACACATATGAACATTCCTTAGGCGCATATGGAAGATTGGAGGTGATTGTAACCCTCTTGGAATGGCAGAAGTGTGCCGGGGAAACACAGACTCGAGGCTATACCGTGGACTTTACACATATGAGATCCACTTAAGGTCTTACATATGGAACCCAGGCTTCTACCGGTTCTCGAGGATTCAACGAGTGAAGGCCTAGCGCCGGACGCTCCGCCATGTCTGGCTGCCGAGGGGACGGAGGAACTCAACAGGGTCTACTATATGGACTCTCTGGAGGGGTTTTAGCAAGCCGACCCGAAGCCGGGGCCTCTCAGTGCTTCTACCCGTTTGAGGTGAGAACACAGGAGGATATCGGCTCCAAACGAAGGCTATAGAATGTAGTGGACGTGTTAGGGGTCGCCCAGCCCGCAGCTTGCAGGCTCACCACCTGATCCCTCAAGGGAGTAGCAGGAACCTTGGGCACATAGCCGGGCCGGGGCCTCAGGGTTACCTGGAAGTCAGCGGCCCGAACTCTAGGCACAAATCGTCGACCGAAAATGCGTGCAGGTCCCCTACCCTCTTGATGGAGGCAAATGCAAGCAGGAGTAGAGTTGTCATTGACAGAAACATCAGCTTGACCGCCTGCAAAGGCTCAAATGGGCCCTGCTGTAGTGCTGTGAGCACTAGAGTCAGGTCCCAAGAGGGTATAGAGGGGGGCCATAGAGGATTTACCTTTTCAACCCTTTAAGGAACCTGATGACCAGGTCATGTTTCCCCAGTGACTTCCCTTCTATGGGGTCGTGGTTAACAGCGATTGCAGGGAGACAGCCTTCGCTCCAACCCTTGCTGCAAAAAAAACAGCATGACTCTGATCGGGCATCTTCGGGGGTCTTCTCGGTGAGAAGAACACCACTCAACGAACAGGTTCCACTTCAAAGCGTAAGCGTGTCTCATAGACGGTGCTCTCGCTGAAGTGATGGTGTCACTACCTCTTGGGGTAGGTCACTTAGAACCTCCGCGGCCCATCCATGGACCAGACATGAAGTTTCCAGAGGTCTGGACGCGGGTGCCCAAGGGTGCCCCGTCTCTGAGTCAGTAGATCCTTCCTCAGAGGAATCAGCCAAGGAGGGACTGTCGCGAGGAGCATTAGTTCTGGGAACCAGGTCCGGGTAGGCCAATAGGGTGCCACCAACAGGACCTTCTCCTCATCCTCCCTGACCTTGCACAGTATCTGTGCGAGAAAGCTCACTGGGGGAAATGTCTGGGCTCCGAAACGTCTCCAAACCAGCTGGACCGTCTGGGGATGGAGTCGCCATTCTCCCGGGAGCTCAGCTCGAGATAGCTCGTCGGCTGCCCGGTTGAGCAGCCCAGGATTGTGAACAGCACGAAGCGAAGAGTCCAACTCCATACCGAGAAAAGAGATCCTCTCTGTCCGGGAGAGTTTGCTCTTTTCCCAGTTGACCCGAAGGCCCAACAAGCTGAGGTGTGAGAGCACCAAGTCCCTGTGTTTGCACAACTGATCCTGAGCTAATATGATCCTGAGCCGAGGTAGTTGAGAATGCGAATGCCCTGTTCTCTCAGGGGATCAAGGGGTGCCTC